TGGAAGACACTCCCCTGGGAGAAGTGGACTCCTTTACCTACCTTGGAAGTGTCATCGACGGTAAAGGTGGAAACGAGGCAGACGTTAAAGCAAGAACCGCCAAGAGAATGTCAGCATCCAATCAGTTATCAAAAGTCTGGAAAGCAAGCAACATCTCACTGCGCACCAAGATTCGACTCTTTAACTCCAACGTCAAGTCTGTGCTCCTCTACGGCTGCAAAACTTGGAAGACAACAAAGACAATACTAAATAAAGTCCAGACTTTCATCAACAGATATATGAGGAGTATTCTTAGAATTAAGTGGCAGGACAGAATAATAAATGAAGAGCTGTGGGAAAGGACAGGACAAAAGGATATAGAAATAGAAATAGGACTAAGAAAGTGGCGATGGATGGGACACACCCTCAGAAAGCCCAGCCAAGACATCACAAGACAGTCACTGCAGTGGAACCCACAGGGAGCACGAGGCTGGGGTAGGCCACGGGAAACATGGAGGAGTTGCGTGGAAAGGGACATGGGAGAGATGAAGCTCACTTGGAACGAGCTTGGATGGATGGCCCAGGACAGAGATAAATGGAAGGAGCTTGTATGTGGCCTATACCCTACCAGGGGCGGAATACATTGATGATAGTGATGACTTTATCTTATTCAGCAGGGTTTGTCTTGAGTGGAGAATCTGACACACCTCATTGTTTGTCTTTTTTGCTTTCCAGCTTATTCTGGACATTCTGTGACAGCACATCTCAAATGCGGCTATTTTCTTTTCTTCTCTCTTTGTCAAAGTCCAGGTCTCAGCGCCATTTAGGACTATAGCAATTTGACAGGATTTGGCAAAGGGAATATGATATATTAATGTATAACGCTTTGATTTGCGTCTTGCGTTATTGTGTCCTTATACATTATAAACAGGAGGGGAGACAGAACGCATCCCTGTCGTACTCCAGATCTTACTTTGAACCAGTCTGTGTTGCCTTCCTTCGTTCTTACTGAGCTTCTGCTGTTGGTATATAGAGCTCTGACATTATCTAACAATTGTCCTCTGACGTCATACTTTTCGTGTATCTTCCAGAGTTTTGCGTGGTTTACTCTGTGAAAAGCCTTCTCCTGGTCTATAAAGACGATGTTGGATTCTTTGTTGTGTTCGATGATTTTTTCGCATATCTGTCGTAATGCGAATACAGCATCCATGCATCCTCTTCCTTTTCGGAATCCAAACTAAGCTTTGCTCAGATTTCTCTCTACAATAGGTCTTATCCGCTGTTCTAGTATCTTGGCGTATATTTTCCTTATGTGATTTAATAAAGAGATGCCGGACGATTTTTCTACAGCACATAATAATAATAATAATAGATAGCATTTGTATAGCGCATATCCCCGCTCAACAGCAGGCTCTATGCACTTTACACTATATTATTACCCCAGCAGACCATAGAACACTCCGAAACATGCTCAGCTTCCCGGGAAGCATACAGTGCAAGCAGCTGATTAAG